GGACTGAAGGCATCCCGAACCCGGTTGGGATCGGACCCATCTCCTGAACCCAGCCTGGACCTGAAGCACCTCAAACCCATCTGGGACCAGGAACATCCCCCAAAACCAACTGGGACCAGAACCATCCTCAAACCCAACCGGGACGAAACATCTCCCAAACCCAGCTGGGACCAGAACCATCCCCAAACCCAACTGGGACCAGAACCATCCCCAAACCCAACTGGGACCAGAACCATCCTCAAAACCAGCCTTGACCTGAACCACCCCAAACCCAGGCGGGCCAGAACCACCCCAAACCCATCCTAGTGTCACCCCTCTACCAAAGCTCCTCCTGGCCCCGCATGTCCACCTTGGTTGCGTGTGTGTCCCTGTCCACCCACTGGTACCTTCGCTCCATGGTGGAGCTGAGCCGGACGGAGACGGGGACAGGGGTCCCCTCCCTGATGGCGGTGAGGATGGTGGGCAGGGGCTCCAGCTCCTCCTGCGTGGCCTGCCAGGATGAGACAAGGACATTATGGGGACAATGGGTGACCTTGTGCCATCCGCAGGGCGATGGACGCCAGCTCTGTGTGTGGGGAGGAGGTGGCCAGTCTCGCCAGCTACCCTTGGCGACAACTGGGTGGTGGCACCTGGTCCAGGCTGGAGAAGATGTCACAGAGCAGGAGGTGGAGAGTGGCGAGCTCCAGGGCCAGATCCACGTAGCCGTCGTAGGTGGCCATGTGGACGCTGCTCTCGGGGTTGGCCACGCTCTGCAGGAAGGCCGTCATGGTGCTCCAGTTGTGCTCCAGGAACTCGTTCATGAAGCCCATGTAGGCCTCCTTCTCGCCAAACCTGGGGACCACGATGGCCGGTTACCTGGGGGCCAGGCGACGGCCTGGGCCACCACCATGGTCATGAGCCAGGCCACCTCCAGGGTGGCCACCTCCAGACCACCACCTGGTCGTGGACCAGGTCACTGCAACGTCCCTGCACCACGTCACCACCCCGTCTACAAGCCGGGGACATGGGTGAGGACACTGCCGTGTTCTTGGACCAAGCCACCCATAGGTCAGGCCACCACAGGTGACACAGGAGGCTCTGCTACTGGGACACCTCAGCCCCGTGCATGGAGTGGAGATGTTCTCTGCTGCCCCGCGGCTGGTTCATGGCGTGCAGGAGATGTCCCTGCTGCCCCGTGGCGTGTAAGGGACATCCCTGCCGCTCCGTGGTATGTTGGGGACAACCCTACTGCCCCGTGACCGTCCACGGCACGTGCCACACAGCGTGTAGGGGATGTCCCCGCTGCCCTGTGGCTTCCCCATAGGGATGTCCCTCCCCACCAGTACCAGTGCCGTGCCCTGCTGTGACGTACGTGGTGAAGTTGGCCAGGTTCTGGATGACCTTGGCCACAAGGGTGAGGGTACGGGCGGTGGCCTCGCTCGGGTACTCCTGGACGAGGCCGAAGAGG